ACCAATAGGTTAGCCTAAGATGATATTTTATTGCAAAACTCGGCCCCAATGATCTGACCCTTTTATCTAAAGTATTACCACTACCCTCCAAAAAGTGATTTCCCACCATTGGAGACACATTGTTAGTCCATTTAAAAATGAACAGTGTACCGGTAATTATGCTGGCTTTTGCCTGGCAAGCTATATTAATAAATATGTCCCTCACAACCTAAATAGAACAGACCATCTTCCTGTAGGTGAAAAGGCTAAGATGACAGAAATCCAACATTTAACAACAGCAGAACAAACTCTTGTCCCGGATGCAGCAGGTCAGGAAGCAGAACCTGTGGGACTCCAGTGGAGTGGAGAGCAGAGCACGAGGTGTTTTGTTGGTGGGGGAGGCCTTAGCAGGTCACATGTAAGCTGGGAATGTGCTGCAGTGCAGGTCTGAGTCTGTGTTAGGCCTTCCACATGTTAAGGCTGTCTCCGGGGTTACACACAGTGGCTAGAGGGGAGTGATTTCTACAACCTGCAAAATTGCTTAGTTGGAGAATGTGACTGATGACTCACCTTGGGGGGAGAGGGAAAACAGGGTCAGAGCTGGACCGTAAATTACGTGGGATCAGAGTTGGCTTCACTTGGAATGTGCCAACATGAAGCTCTTAATACATGATTTAATTAGGGCATTGGTCGGAACCCTGACACCACACACCCTATGTTCCAATTAATGACCACAATGGGGGGAACAGGACATGTGGTTGTTACGTGAGGTGATCATGTAGGTGCCTCATTTAACAATCATGACAACTTACAACCATTTATGGGCAGGCTCCATTATGGTCATCAGTTGAGAATCTGCATGGAGACTACCTTGATGATGTAACACTCAGATTTTACGAGCACATGATCCATTTTTTTGCAAAGGGACCATACTGGGTAGTCATCAACTTACTGTATGATCCCTATTGAGCCCAAAATTTTGGTTAAGCAAGACAATTATTAAATTAGTTTGTCCCATTTTATAACTTTCTTTGCCATAGGTGTTAAGTAAATCTGTTTTCTGCATTGACTGTGCTTGCCGGAGGGTTGCAAAAGGCAATCACATGACCCAGGAAACTGCAATTGACATAAATACATGCCAGTTGCTAAGTGACTGAATTTAGATCATGTGACCACAGAAATGCTGTAACAGTCATATGAAAAAAAGAGTTGTAAGGCACTTTTTTCACTGCTGTTGTAACTTTGAATGATCACTAAATGAATCACTGTAAGAAGAGGACAACCTGTATTCTATCCCAGATATGGCAATAGTCTTTAAATAATCACTTTATATCAAAGCACTGGCTTGATAAATTCTGATGGATACTTAATATTCTAAATAATTAACCCCCCTGGAAGTAGTTCTCCAGGAGGCATTTTCTGAATTAGGATTCATGCTGCAATACACAGGTAATTGAAATGCTCATAACTACCCAAATGTTGTTGAATGCTCAGCAGCAACCTATTCTGTGCTGTGTCTGTTACCAGGCATCAATTACACTAAGCTTGAAAGACAAAAATTACTAATTACTTAAGAAAGTTGTTCCAAGTAGCAAAATGTATTTCTAATACAGCCCTATAGTTGGAGCTTCAGACAAAAGGGTGGTTAAGATTTTCATAAATTGGCTAAAGATTGATTTCCATTAACTTAGAAGTTTGACATTTTGATCTTGTTAGACAACTTTCATTCCACGTGGACAAAGAAATTGGAGACGGTTCTGAAACTGGTTTTATGTCAGAGACACTATTGTTGTTGGGACAAGAACAGGCTATGGTTGTTTTTAGACAAAAAGAGAATTGCAAACGGAATACAGCAAAGCACTACGTGGAATGCAGTTGAGGGATAATAAACTTTATTTTCAATCATATTTTCAATTAACATTTTAACCAGATTGTAGTTGAGGTGCTTTGGCATCCTGCCATCAACTACACTGAAGGGCAACTTTCAGAAAACCCAAGGACTTGTCCCTGTCTGCCTGGAAATACTGCATCTGTGGGCCATGTGTTAACCTTGTGAGATATGCATAATTAATTCTTAGCTTCTTTCATTATTAGTCATTTTCTGGATGTGTAGAATTTCCAATAAATCTGCTTCTGATAAACAAAGACCCCAGATAAAACAAGCCATTGCTAAGTTTGCATTTGCAGCCTGGGACCTTGAGAAGTATATTCGAGTTTGTGTGGACTTAAGTTGCTGGAGGGTTGAGCAAAAATTGAGAATAGAGTGGTTTGGTGGGAGCTTGAGAAGTATACAGTTTGTGTGGGAATATGCATAACATGATAATTCTTTAAGTACCAGACATTGCAAATGGCTCAAGAAGCAAGCTGGCTTAACTGAGAAGCACCATGTGAGGAATTTAAGAGTGTGTGTAGAAGAGACCTCTGGAGACTGTAGATCGAAGTCTGGGAGCGTGTGCTTTGCTAATAGCAAATGAATTATGGATTGATTTGGGGCTGTTCTGTTTAGAGCAGAGAATTCTGTAGTTTTAGAGTTCTGTATCCTTCTTACAAGATTGTTCATGTTCTTTCCTTTTTTTACTGTACTTTATTTTATTGCTTTTATTTTGACATGTTTGGGAGCTCTGTGACATTCAGTATTCAATTTCAGTTCGTATATGGATGGAGTTGAGGCTTATCAGTGAAGTGGCCACATATGTTGATGATATCAGCTATTCAGGATGGTGCAATCAAAAAATGGATTGTAAAAAGCTTCCAAATCAGGCAAATGAGCTTCAAACTAGTAAAAGCAAAGCTATGTATGTTGGCACAAAACAACCACTAATCTTCATTTGCAATTATGCATTTGCAAGATCTCAGGTAGCAGAGCCTGAACTGGGGAAATAATCCTGGAGTTACAGTGAACAGCTAGATGAAAAGGCCAGTTTAATTAGCAGCTGCTGTTTAATAAAAAAAAAACCTATACTTGGAATTAAAAGAGAATTGAAAAAATAAATTAAAGTAAAATAAAATTGTAATTAAAACTTGCAAATATAATGGTGCCTTATCTTTAAAAAAATCTGTGAAGCCACATTTTTGTATAAAACATCTTACAAAATGAAGCACCCAAAGAACTTGTTAGGAAACTGTTGCAACTTCCCACAAAAATAGACTGCAGTGTGTAAAATTCTTTCATTTGGAACAAAGGGAAGACATAGGAAGAGTCAATAGTTTTTCAACCCTGGCAACTTTAAGATATGTGAACTTCAACTCATGCCACACTCAAAATAATCAAGCTTTTCTATTATCGGTAAATAGGAAATTCTAAGAAATCTTTCAAAAGCCAACACTCTTAAGTTATAGGGCAGAATATCTATATTCAAGGAACAGAGATACTCTGTTCTAGAGAGGCCTTTTAATGATTATCATTTATTTGATAACACCCAATTACTGTTTCATTAAAAAGGAAGTGAAAGTTTTGCTTCAAGGTAAATAATGTCTATTGAACTTCTGCTTAATCTTCAAATCATGGTTTAGTCTTTCTTTGGCAGAAAATTCTATACTGTAATTCTATAAAGACAAACAATTGGCACTCCTTGGCTTGCCCTCTGTAAACTATCACTTATCCTGCAGTTGCTGGTTGAGAAAAAGGCATGTATACTTTGGGCTCTGTTCCAAGCCTCCAACATCATATAGTTCTTAACAGAATTGAACTGTCATCCAAAAATTTATCTACTATAGATTTTATCACCGAATGGGCAGAATTACAATTAGTTTTTGAATTGTAGTTAGGTTATCTTTTCTATTGATAGAACCTTGAATATTATGAGTAGATCTAAGTAGAATGTATGCATGTGTATA